GAAAATTCTCAACTGAAAAGTGCTTACATTCACTGAGATACAGGCACTGATCGAGTGTTATGAGAGCCACAGATGCCAGCTGCAGAAAACAATAGTCACCACATTAGATTCAGTACATGACCTCATGGGGCAGAACAAGAGGTATTTTAATGTGTATAGCCAGCTTTAGAGTGGTATGCAGGGTTCTCTTAGTAAATAGAATGACTTGTTAAGGAAACATGCAATTGAAAGGCTACATGAATTACAAAGCATGGTCTAAGTAGAGTGGGGAAGGAATGGTGCCACTGTTATTTATTTATTTATTACAGGTACCTATACAGCACTGTCAATTTACGCAGCAGTTTACATACTGTATATATTGTACATTCATATCAATCCCTGTCATCAAGGAGCTTACTGTTAGGTTTTTATTGCTATTTATGTCCACGTTGTAAAAAAAATTCCCCTTATTTTCTGTCATGTCTCTGAGGTAGATACCACACTCTGTTCCATGCATACACTTACACTGTTATCTGCCATCTTGATTAATGGTTTCTGGATTGGCTTGCGACATGTGCGCCACCTATCAGTAATAGGTTTTAGACTAATAGAGTTTTCTTTAATGAACACCCTCTGTTTTTTTTAACTATATGAAACAATATAAAAAAAGAAGACATGATATTCTGACTAGCTATCACATTTCTTGAGACCCTAAATTGTTTAGTAAAGTGCAGGGGTCAGGACTATGTGATGCACAGAACAGCTTGCAGATTTCAGTGGTCAAGGGTTAATACCACCTTATGATGGTAAGTGCCTCTTTATATGCTGGTGGTCAGTAATGTTTTTCCCCATTGGTAGTCGGTGTGCCCCCTTTATGGTCAATATGTCCTGTGTACCCCTTGGTATTGAGTGTCCCTGCCCTTGCCATTCAGTGTGCCTCCCTTTCATTGGTGGTCAATGTACCCCTTGAATGGTCAATATGCCCTGTGTACCCCTTACTGCTCAGTGTACCTCCCTTTTTATTGGTAGTCAGCGAGAGTAGTGTTACTTATATTAAAGTGGTACTTTCATGGATTCAATGTATTAACGTGAATGTAACCTTTGTTTTTCTTTAGCATAAAAAACATGTCTTACATACCTGCTCTGTACAAAGGTTTTGCACAGAGCAGCCCCATTCTTCCATTTCTGGGGTCCCCCGCCAGTGCTCCTGGCTCCTCTTCCTGCCCAATATAGCAATCTGCTTGCTAGGGGGGCAGTTGTGTGAGCTCACACCTGAGCTGGCTTTGTATGCCCATAGACACACAGAGCAAGGCTTGGCCCAGCCCTGCTCCCTCCTAAGTGGCTGTGATTGGCAGCAGCAGGAATCAATGGCTCCCACTGCTCTCCTTGAACCCATGAGGAGGAAAAGAGCCGAGACGGCTGCTGCTCTTGTGCAGGGCTCAGGTAAGTATAGGGGGGTGGCTACACTTAGAAGGTTTTTTTTTTTACCTTAATGCAGAGAATGCATTCAAGTAAAAACCCTTCAGCCTTTAGACCCATTTAACATAAAAAATATCAGATCCTTCAAGCATCACCGCTTAAACACTTACCGGAGTCTTCTCTCATTCCAGTGCTGTCCTGTCTGCAACAGCTCTTCGTCCCTCTGCTTGATCTCACAGGCTTTGCTGAGAGCAGTGGAAGACATAGATTCCTGCTCCTTCACCTGCAGGTGGCAGGGCCAAGCCACGCTCTGTGTGTCTATGGACAGCACTCGGAGGAGCAGAGAGCGCCAGTGCAGGACCCCAGAAGAGGAGGTTCAGGGCAGCTCTGTGCAGTACTATTGTACAGAGCAGGAAAGTATGTCATGTTTTTTATTGCAGAAAAAAAAACATTTGCAACTGCTCTAAGTGAAGAATCAATCAATGACAGAGAAGAATGATGTAAAAACTCACTAATCCTGCATAGTCTACAAGATTTAATTTGGTATGTTTAAATGGAGAAGGGCATGGAGTATGGATGGCAGAGCTTGGTTAAAACCAACAGTTGTGGTTTGAAAAAAATGAAAAACCTTATCAAGCTGTTTATAATTTTAATGCATATTTCTCTGTACACCATCTTACATACCAGTAAGGCCTCATGCACACAGGATGTTTTGCCAAATCTCCTAGAAGCCTTTCCTCCTGGCAGTAGTGTTTTGGTAGAAAAAAACACTTGATGGTGTTTGTTTAGGTATGTTTAGGCCTTTTTTTTGTGACCATTGAAATAATTTAAAGCTCAAGCGCCAAACTCATCTAATGTTTATGCATGTTTAGATGTGTTTGCACATGTTTACAAAGCATTTTTTCTACCAAAAGGCTGCTGCACCGGTATGCACTGACAGCAAAGGTTTCTTCTGTCTCTAAACTCCCCTGCTTCTAAACTTCTCTAAACACCTATGTTTGCATGGACACATAGCTAACTTGCAGTGGCTCTGAGGAAGAGACAAGTCCTCGAAACGTGTCAGCCTATTGGATGTCTACATTCCCCATTATGGACTGTTTACTCAGCGCGGTGTTGACCCAGCTGTTGTTTTATGATGTGCCTTGACTTTATTGTCGTTTGTGAGTACAGCACCTATTTTATTTCTTATTAAACATTTTTTATGGTAATGCACTAGGCTTGTGCGCCCTCTCTTTGTTCTTTCCTCATTAACTTGCAGAGGTGTTTGGAGCAGGGCCAGCTGTTCCACTAGGCAAACTAGGCAGCTGCTTAGGACGCACTGCAACCTAGGGGAGCCTGGGCGCAGCACAGGCCGGCGCTCTCTCTGTGTGAGGCATGTCATGAATGATCCTTCCGCTGAGGGGAGGGGCGACAGAGGGGGAGGAAGAAAGGACAGAGGAAGATGCCGGATGTCTGGGGCCAGTGTAGCAGCTGAGCTGCTGCTCCTTCCAGTGTTCCTCTCAGACGCAGTGCCTTATTACAAGCCAACTGGCAGCTGCTGATCACTGTGGATCACTGTGGAGTTTGAAACCTTCTCTTCCCATTCATCAGCGGAGGTGGAGCTGCACCTGCGGAGGAAGGTACTGTCTGACTCTGATGTCTCTGTGTGAGCGTGAGCCGGCCAGCCATCCATGACACGTGCAATGTGTCAGTGTGTATCGACATCATCACGATCCCACAGCCTTCTCTTCTAGTGCCTGCTGGGCTTGCTGATCTGTGTCAGTGTTTGTGGTGGTGAGTTGTGTCGGATCTGTCACTGTGTGGGATCACTCAGTTCAGGTGTTCTCTGTGTGTGTGGGCTGCCTGCTGTCACAGCTTTTTATCTCCCCCCATTGCCTAAAGAATTCCAGCCTGGGATCTGTCAGAGCTATATAATGGCACTTATTTTTGCAAATTAAAAGAAATTTGGTAGTTTCATGTTTTGTTGATTTAATACTTTCTACTGTTTTTATTTTTATTTTTTGGCGCAAGTAGCTAAATAGTCTAGCATGGTTTGGAGGCAGAAAAAAAATTGCCAGGCACCCCTAGGAGCAGCTGAAAAAAAGTTTCTAATGTATATGCTATTTCAGTAAAAAAGCTAAAAAATACCTGTAGGGTATGCTGATATTTCCAGTAATGTTGGCTCTCATCTTTCTTTGGATCCTTGTATTCTTCTCCAGTGCTGCATTCACACAATGATAGTTTCAATCTCAATTCTGCAAGCTAAATCAATAACATTGTAAATAAATACTGGTTGGTGACAGATACTTTGACTCCCTAGTGATTTCTTCTTCAGAATATATTGAGAAAGGCCTTCCGAGACAGGCATTAAGAGTTCCAGTTCTTAGCAATATTCTGAATGTCAACACTGCAAGAAGGGTGTTGAATCTCCACAGTGGGAACACAGACTGCAGGATCTAACATTTACTCATTTTAGCAAAAATGAAAAAACATTTTAGAGCCTCTTAAATCAATCTAAACAATAATAAAATATGTGGGTATTCCTTCACACTACTGTCATAGTTGCCAACTGTCCCGATCTGTACTGGACACTAACAGATTTCGAAATCCTGTCCCAACCCAACCTTGTCCCAGAAAGCAAGGCTGGTCATGGACTAGACATTCAAAGCTCAGATGCTCCCACCGCCGGGTGGGGTCATCAACACAGGACCATGTTGGGCACAGATCCCTCCCCCTACCTCCTTCCCCTCAATAAACTATCAGAGCACTGTGAGCACTCTAGGTAGTCCATTGATTATTCCTGTCATTGTGTAACTGCCTGCCCATATGAGGTACGAGCAGACAGCTTACACAGACAGTCTGCAGGAGTCCTGCATTGCACAGACAGTCTGCAGGAGTCCTGCATTGCATCCTTGATCTGTTGATTAAGGGCACAATGCTTTACACACTCCAAATAAAAAAAAGAAATAAATGCACTTTTTTTTTTCCTGCAAAATAATGTGGATTTATGTTTTTTTTTAAAGGTGAACTTATCCTTTAAAAAGATGTGAGCTACAAGCAGGTGAACTAGAAAAATAGTGAACTGGCTTTTAACAGATGAAGACTTCCTGGAAAAAACATTCACATAACTATACAAAATAGTAAAAATATCTTTATATCATTAACATATAAATATAATGTAAATTAAATTTTGTGCACTGACAGTAACACTTGTTATTTTAAAAGAACTGATCAAACTGGAAAAAGTAATTGTTTTTATTTTATTTTTCAAATATGTTTGCTTTAACCTCCCTAGCGGTATGATTATGTCCATATTTCTGTGCTCAAAGCAGTACATTTTTTTGCATTGAAATATGTTTTTTTTTTTATTGTAGGCCTGTAATTTTTAGGAATAACTCACTGAAGTCTGTCCGAACAAGAGTCTAGTAAAAATCCTGGGTAGGATAAAACTTGAAACACTAAATCATAAATTATAATTTAATAAATAATCATAAAAAATAATAATATAATAATAATAAATAAATAAAATAAATAATTCAATAATATAATCAAACCAAAAATACAGAAATTTGAAATATAGCGCCAAGTTCGCACATCACTGAGCAAAGTCGCAAAATCGTTTGTCAGTGTCTGATGACGAATTTCCCTACGAATCATTATCACTCAATTCTGCAAGTCGTTCTGATTTACTATGGCTGTTCTCTAGCTGGTCTAAAACCGCTTTTGACCTAAAGGGACACTTTTTGCACACCATGGACGTTTCTCAGTTTCCAGGCAGAAAGAACAGTAAAAATGCAGGCAGGGCACAGGACAAAGCACTAGGGACAAAATGTATGTGAAATGGTTTGATACAGTAATGTTTTACTATGTGATTTTAGTGAATGTCACTTTTTGTCATTTTCAAATTTCCCGCCGTTCCGTCCCCCGTACGTCCCGGATTACATTGCTGGGAACACTGCAGGAGGGACATCGCGGGAGCGCAGGACAAGGTAAGTGATCGTGGGATCACGGAGCAACGCTGCAGGGTAAGCCCGAGTGTAGCTCGGGGTTACCGCTTGTGGTACTGAAACTTTACCCCGAGCTACACTCGGGAATACTGCCAGGGAGGTTAAAGTGGTTTTAAACACTTACATATACCCAGTAAAGAAACTGGCTTCAGATGATACACAGAGATGAAACAAATCCTTCTACATAAGTTGTACTTGTCTATCTGCAGTCTTCCCTTTTCTACATCCGTACAGACTTATTCAAGATTGTCTGAGAGCTCAAAAAAAAACAGGGGCGGAGAGCCGCAGGTACACTTGCAGAGTTCAGTGAAGAGAGCTGATTGGAGGGAAGTGACACACTCCAATCCACACAGCTCACGGGGACAGAGCTGAAGCTGTCAATCTGCTGGATGTCCCTCCCCTGTCACCTTTTTTTTCTTGGTCTCAAATTATTAGAATTGATTCATGCTGATAGCTGAGGAATGAAGCAGCAGACAGAAATTACACTTAGAGCTGATTCACTCATGTGCAATGCGGACTGAAGCTCAGGTTCCACAGCTAATTGATACAGTAGTTCTTCACAGGTTCTAATTAGGTTTACATCAGGTTCAGGACAGGATTAGCTCAGGATCTTATCTTGTTCACGCATGTCTGGTTTAGAAACCGTTCCCATAGAAGTCAATAGCCTGTAATCCGCAACTGAACTGAACCACACTGCTCAGAAATCGTACAGGACTCTTTTTTTTTAAACCGCACTGACTCTGCTCTAAATCTGCACCGCTGTGTACCAGTCATATGTGAACAAGCACCATAGGAAACAATGTTTTTTCACATGTCATGCAGATTGGATGCGGTTCAAACTGCATCCAATCCGCATATATGTGAATGGGCACTCAGTGCTCTTAATCGAAAGTACACACTAATGAGGGTGTAAGAAATCAAATCAAATTTATGATTGGGCAATTATATTGATGGCAAGCTTGCAAAATATTTGGTTTTTATGATTAATCATAATTAATATTAATATGTTTGAATGGACGCCTTAAGCCAATAGTATTACAATTCTTCAGATATAGCTGAGACTGAAAAATATGAATAAGTTAAGCTGAGACCAGCTAAACCAGCTGAAGACTATATTTAGGCATAGCTGGTTAGAAGTCTCTAGTAAAATGTCAAGGGTATTAGCAGTACTCATTATAGACTTACTATTACATTATGTATTTTAATAGTATCTGTGTGTATTTAGTATACATTTCTAATATTGATACATATATAGATTAGTGATTATACGTTGATATGTTGTAAAGATATGTTCTTAAGTTATATTATTATTATCATATGAATAGCTGAGGTTACATCATCAGCTTACAGTATTATGTATATCAGCATCTGTACCTGTCCATCAAACATCACATATATAGCGTCCACTCTCTTCTATGAAACTGCTTTGCTAAGCAGTAATAATTTCCATAGAAGGTATTAAGATCACTAGGTATGACGCTTGTTCCTATATAAAAGGTCCATAAGGGACAGTTGGGTCAGACACGCTAACACCGACACTCTTGCATACACACACACATACATACACGTCTGAGAAGCTGCAACAGGTGCATGCTGCAAGATCGTCACTTCCGTCTACTTCCGACTTCTCGAAAGGACAAGGAGAGCATGAAGGACAGAACATCACATGGCCGGACTTCTATGACAAAAATGGTGACTTTTTCTTTAAACTTCTGCATGATATTTCTACAGTAGTTTTATCTACATGGAACTGTTCATGATACGCTTTACATTGTTATTTTAAGCATTGTGTGAAGTTGGGAGCACGGACCTGGGCGGGTGCGGATCGGAGGTGTAGAATAAAATCACACTTTATTTTTTATTTCAACGGCTCTTTCATTCATAATCGCCTCAAGACACTAGAAGAAGTATTATATGTGTCTAAAATCCAACAGAGGGAAATGCTTTGTTCATAATTCGTATCTGAGCTCTATAACCACTTTAAGATAATCAAAGCATGAAACAATTATTTGAAGACAAAAACTAGTAAAATTGAGCTTTGTCCAAAATGAAACAAAATTTGTGATATTGTGTGCTATAACTAATGTGAAATTCAAAATCAAAATGTCTGTAGCTGAAATATAAAAACGTTCTCTGGCCTAAAATAGAAAAAGTAGTGATTTAAAACTTATATAAATAGACCCCTAAAAGGAAAAAAGGCCTAAATCTTACACCAGTTGATGTACTGCCAATACACCACTTGTAGACACTAGTGTATAGGCTGTAGAAAGACTCTCAAAGTAACTGAAATCTAGGATTGGTGGTTCAGTATAAGGGTCGATTTTTATTTATGATGTTTGTCTGCTGGAGGGGGTACTGATAAATCAGCAAAAATTCATGGCATGCGATAGAAGAGGAGCACCTTTTACAAAGTGTCATGAGATGAGGTTAATTTACTAAAACTGAAGAGTGCAAAATCTGGTGCAGCTCTGCATAGAAACCAATCAGCTTCCAGTTTTTTTTGTCAAAGCTTAACCACTTGCCCTCCTAAGGATTTACCCCCCTTAATGACCAGGCCCCTTTTTGCTACTCGGCGCTGCACTAATTCAACTGATAATTGCGCGGTCATGCAATGCTGCTTCCAAACGAAATTTACATCCTTTTTTTCACACAAATAGAGGTTTCTTTCGGTGGTATTTGATCACTTGTGTGCTTTTTTTATTTTTCACGCTATAAACAAAAAAAGACCAAAAATTTTGAAGAAAAACAATATTTTTTACTTTCAGCTATAAAAAATATATAGTAAACTCAAAAACTAAAATTTCGTCATAAATTTAGGCCAAAATGTATTCTGCTACATGTTTTTGGTAAAAAAATCCCAATAAGTGTATATTGATTGCTTTGTGTGAAAGTTATAGCGTCTACAAACTATGGTGTAGATACTGTAACTTACGCTATTTTTTTTGCTATACAGCACTGCACTAGTTTAACGGACAATTGCGCGGTAATGCAATACGATACATAAATGAAATTTACATCCTTTTTTTCCCACAAATTGAGCTTTCTTTCAGTGGTATTTGATCGCCTGTGCGTTTTTTATTTTTTGCGCTATAAAAAAAAAAGACTGACAATTTTGAGGAAAAAAAACTATATTTTGGACTTTTTGCTATAAAACATGTCCAGTAAAAAAAAAATGTAAAAATCAAATTTAGTCATAAATTTCTGCCAAAATGCATTCTGCGACATGTCTTTGCTACAAAAAACCCCAATACGTGTAAATTAATTGGTTTACGTGAAAGTTATAGCGTTTCCAAATAGCGGGATAGATACTGGGATTTTAAATTTTTTTTATACTAATAATGGCGGCGATCAGCGACTTATGGCGGCCATCAGTGACTTATGGCGGCGATCAATGACTTATGGCGGCGATCAGTGACTTATGGCGGGACTGCGGGACTGCGGTGGACATTCTGACACTGGGGGGGGAACTGACTTGGGGTCACTGACATCCCCAGTGACACCAATACAGTGATCAGTGCAAAAAAAAAAAACACTGACACTGTACTAATGGCACTGGGGAGGAAGGGGTTAGCTTTATTATTCAGTGAAAGGGTTAACTGTGTGAGGGGAGTGTTTTACTAGGGGGCTATGTGTACTGCAGGGAACACCGCTGATCGGGACAGATAAACTCTTCTGTCCTGATCAGCGTGTCAGGAGCTGTCAGGGAACTGACAGAAAGCACAGCTACTGCAGCTGTGCTCTCTGTCACTGATTGCCGCTAATGCCAGGGACATAGCCGGTAACGACCGGCTGTGACCCGGCGACTGACATCCGCGGCCGTGATCGGTGGGACAGGTAGGGCGGCGGCGCACCTCGCGCGCGCCCCCAACCTGTTTTAAATACACACGTTTTAAAACGTGGTTTTGCCCAACCGTGCCGCCCTGCCACCGTATTTCTACAGTGGCTGGGCGGCATGTGGTTAAAGTGGTTCTAAAGATTCAAGGTTTTTTTTTACCTTCATGCATTTTATGCATGAAGGTAAAAAACCTGTGTGCAGCATCACCCCCACCCCCCCAATACTCACCTTAGGTCCCTCTCGATCCAGTATTGTGCACTGGAGTCTCGGCTGTCTTGGGCTCCCTCTTCTTATTGGCTGAGACAGAAGCGGGAGCCACTGGCTCACACTGCTGTCAAACACAGCCAGTAAGCCAATGAGAAGAGAGAGGGGGTGGGGCCAAGCTACTGCTCCTTGTGTGAATGGACACACGGAGCAGCGTGTGCCCCCGCTGCTTGATGTGGGGGCACCCAACAGCAGGGAGGGACCAGGAGAGCCTGTGGGAGGACCTGAGAAGAGGAGAATCCAGGCAAAACCATGGCGCAGAGCAGGTAAGTATAGACATGTTTGCTATTTTTTTATTAAAAGAAAATAAGCTTTTAGAATCACTTTAACTGAACAAGCTGAACTTAGAAGCTGATTGGCTATCATGCACATGTGCAACAGCTTTTACACTCTCCAGGTTTAGTAAATAAACCCCTTTGTTTAAATAAAAAAAAAATTTGCAAAAACGTACCTTGTTTTTATAAGCCTGTTTCATGTTTCTAAAGTGATTGTCCCATTGCTTGTTTACTTCCAGTAACTACAATGCAAAAAAAAGTTTCATAAGAAATATTTTCATTGGCTCAATTATTTTCAATTATGACAAAATGGACACTACAGCAATACAGCAAAAAAAAAAAAAAAAAGTAAGAAGCAAGTATTCTAGGGGGTGTATTTGTAAAAATTTGCATAGCATTTCACCCAGTGAAAGTGCATGTACATTTGTTCTATGCGAATGTGGCATAAAATTTTTTTATTAGGCTCTTTCCTGCCTTGGACAAATGTTTTTCATTGATTTAAAACAGGATATACCTCCTTTGACCACTAGATGGCACTAAGTGTCATAGGAATTTTTTAAATCTCTCCTATATAGTACCTGAAGACTGAGTTGACAAGCAGAGCCCTGCTTACAGTCAAATCAGTGGATCCCTATGGTATTTTTCTC